CTCTCCCTCCAGAAGCCGCGGGCATCGAGCCCGAGGCACCTGCACCTACAACGTTCACTACATCCAGACCGCCGGCTACGACGACCACGTTCCTACTGCGCCTCTTCTCGGGAAGAAGCCGGGTGAGGGACTTCCAGCGCCGCTTCGACATGCGCGCAGTTTGCTGCAACCTGGCGGCGCTCTCCATCGACGTGCAGATCGACCCCTTTAAAAGCGACCTCGCCAAGCAGGCTCTCAGGACGCGCTGGCCTGCTCGTTGCACGCTATAATGGCTGGCGGTATCTTCGGCATCCTGGCTGGGTCGCCCTGCGAGACGTGGCGTTCCTCGAGGTGGCGCGCCCTCGAGGGAAGAGCACCGCGCCCCGCTGGAACCCGCGAACACCCGTGGGGCGTACAGGCAGCCAACCAGACATTACTACATCAGCTTGCACTGTGCGGCGACCTGTACAGAACGGCCATCGTACCTATCACAACGGGTCTGAAGTTCGAAGTGTCAGCCATGCTCGAGCATCCAGCACGTGCCACCTGGTGCCTGAAGCACCGAGCAGTTGGCACAGAGCGGAGACCAAGTGGCCACTGGAGCAACAAAGCGTGGAATTCCACTAAACCGACCAGTACCAGTTCGGACAGACAGCGCAGAAACCAACGCGCCTACTCGCAGCACATCTACGCGCATTACGACAAGGGCTACTGGCAGTACCTGGAGGGCAGACGTGTACTCACAATGGACATGGCCGAGCTTGCGGTCGTGATGGCAGAGGCGGATGGAAGACGGCACCACTCAAAGAATACCAGTCGAAATTGCGCAGGGCCATGGCGGCGGCTTTCGAGGCTAGATGGGGTCAGCTGGCAGACGACAATGCACCATGGGCTATGGGCGACGAGGAGAATCACAATTTCCACGCACCACTGGACTATTGCGCAGAGACTGCAGAGCTGGGCCACCTCGGCCACAGGGAGCGGGGGGCCCGAGGGCGCTTACAGGCACAGACGCAGGCCGCGCATGAGGGCGCATACAAGCGGCCGAACTCACTACACACCGCACCCCCACCACCCCCAACAATTCCAGCTACCAGGCCTACGGCTACCAGACCGACAGCACCGCGGCTGCGATACACCGACGCCATCCGCACTACGTGCAACAACCCTCGCAGCCAGATGCAACGCCACACAGGCCTGCGAACCAATGCGCGCACCCCTCCGACAACAATCCGAGCTGCGTTAGGACGCAAGTCCTGGGGAAGCCCCGGGTGCGTGGGGCCGCCTCAGGCAGCGTTGCCGCGCATTGCTGGAGGCGTTGGGACGCAGGTCCTGATGGGGGGCAGGGCGAGTACTGCCCGCGCCCACCAGAGGGGATGGTGGAGTGCAGGGCGGGGGGGGGGCACCGCCACTACCCGCGCCCCCGCGGTCCGCCTTAGCTCGCCACCCCCGCCATCCCCACGACGAGGAGGAGCTCACCCGTGCGCCGACATGGCGGAGCAGAGAGCAAGCGCGGTCACCCCCACCACGACCACAACAGCACCAGGCCTGGGGTTCGCCCCCACCGATTGCACAGTGACCCCCTAGCCATAGCGGGACGAAGTGGGACAGCCACGACCCCCACTTCAAGTCGGCGCGTGAAGGCCAATCGGTGCGGGCACCACCCATATGCCCATGCACTCCAACATGATACCACAAACAACGACGACAGAGTGCGAGAAAGGTGGAGCCACCACAGCAGCACGACTGTAGCAACCTGGCCACACACAGCAGCGCAGGGAGCTGGAGATCACGCAGGACGATTAGACGCATAGAAAGGACAAGACGCATGGGGGCCCGAGGGAAAGGTGGTCATGAGCAGGGACCACACACCTCGAGCTCCACGCAACGCACAGCTAACAAGAAGGACAGGAACAGGATCCACAACGCCATAGTCGCGCGAGGACCTGGGGAAAGGTGACCAGGAGCAGGGGTCACACACTCGGGCACACGAAGATGAAATTAATTAAGCAGTGAGCTCTCGGGAAAGGTGGTCAGGAGCAGGGACCACCCACCTAGTGACCAACGATGGCAAACGACGGAGGAAACGCGGTCAGGCCCAAGGACCACATTCTGTTCCAACGCCAAGGGGCGGCCTGCCCCGACCGTGGGCTCAGCGCGAGGCGCCGAAGGGGGCCCAGGTATCGCTGAGAGGCCAGCCAGGCCGAAGCGGGCTCGAGGGAAAGGTGGTCAGGAGCAGGGACCACATACCTCGAGCCCCGTGAGGAGATGGGGAAAGGTGGGCAGGAGAGCCACTCCCCCACACCCCTTCTGGACATGGGGAAAGGTGGTCAGGAGCAGGGACCACACACCCAGGCCCAGCCGAGGAGGGGACCCCTCCTCAGCGGCTTGGCTCAGCGCTCCGCGCCGAAGGGCGCCCGGCCGCAACCGAGCGGCCAGCCTGGCCCCGGCCCACGAAGAGGCCGACGGCCAGGCCGAGCGCCGCGCCGCGGGCGCTGCCTGACGCCCGCGGGCGCGGGCGGGTGCGGGGCCCGTCCGAGGGCCCTTTTCGGGCCTCCTTTTTTAAACCCGGCCTCTCCCCCCCTCCTCCTTTGAGTGGTCGGGTGCCCGGAGCCGTCGTCTGAGTGCCCGCGCGGCCCTCGTGGGCTGCTGTGGCGCGCTCCGCGCTCCGGGCGCATGCGAGACGCTGCTCGGAGCGAGAAACGCAGAAACGCAGGAGGCGGAGGAGACGGAGGTGGTGGTTTTCGGACGTGTTCTTTGGTCCCCGCCGGCTTTCCAAATTCCAGATTCGTTGTCGCGGCTGCACCTCGCCGAGAGCTTCCTGCAGGGCGAGCAGGAGGAGGAGGAAGAGGATGAGGAGGAGGAGGAGGAGCAGGAGGAGGAGGAGGAGGACGAGGATGATGATGATGATGTGGAGGAGAAGGTCATGAGGAGGAGGAGGAGGAGGAGGACGACGACGAGGATGAGGAGGGGGACGAGGACGAGCAGGACGAGGATGAAGAGAAGCAGGATACCAAAGATAGCAAGGAGAACGATGATGATGCTGCTGATGATGATGCTGATGATGATGATGATGAGGAGGAGAGGGCAGGGTGAGGGTGAGGGTGAGGGTGAGGATGATGATGATGATGATGATGATGATGATGATGATGATGATGATGATGATGATGATGATGATGGGGATGATGAAGATGCTGATGCTGATGCTGATGGTGATGGTGATGCTGATGATGTTGTTGATGATGAGGATGCTGATGATCATGATATTGATGAGGACGATGGTGGCGATTGATAATGGTGATGATCATGATCGTGATGATCAAGATGATCATGCTGATGATCAGGATGATCATGCTGATAATGATGATGGTGATACTGATGAGGAGGACCATGATCACCATTATGCTGTTGCTGATGATGGTGATGATGATGAACATGATGATGTTGATGATACTGGTTTTGACGATGCTGGCGATGAGGATGGTGTTCTCATGATGATGCGGGTGATGATGATGTTGATGCTGGTGATGACGATGCTGCTGCTGCTGATGATGATAATGCTGATGCTGGTGATGACGATACTGATGATGGTGGTGATGATGATGCTGATACTGGTAGGATGATGAACATGATGCTGCTGCTGTTGCTGCTCATGATGATGATGATGATGATGCTGATGATGATGATGATGATGCTGTTGATGTTGATGTTGATGTTGATGATGATGCTGATGATGCTGCTGATGATGATGATGATGATGATGACATTGTGTATGATCATGATTCGGATTAAGGTTATGATTATGATTATGATGATGCTGCTGAAGCTGAGGAGGAGAAGGAGCAGGAGGAGGAGGTGGAGGAGGAGGAGGAGGAGGAGGAGGAGGGAGAGGAGGAGGGAGAAGAGGAGGAGCTTGAGATGGAGGAGGATGGGAAAGAGGAGGAGGATGAGGAGGAGGAGAAGGAGGAGGAGGCTCGTTTCGCACCTTTGCGTTGCTTCCTTGTGGTTTTCCAACCTGCAGATTCCAGCGGCTGCGCCTCGCCGAGAGCGTTCCGGGTGTGCCTGGATCGTCCCGATCGGCCGCCGCAGAGCCGAGTTGTGGCCCGAAAGTCAGGGACAACCTTACACCGCCGACGAGATGATCGAATCTCGGAGGTGGATAGACCTCCTACCCTGACACGTCGATTCAGGAATTGGCCGTTTTCGGTTCGCGAGAGGGCGTCGCGGCCGTCATTTTTGCGGGTCCAGGTCCGTCGGTTTCGGTCCCAGGCCGTTTTCGTTGAGAGGATGTTTACTAAAGGGAGGCTTGCCCGCAGCCGATAATCGGAGCAGTCACATTTTCTCCTGTCTCTTAATTTCGGCCCCGCTCTCGGGATCGAAATTGGACCCAGGGTTCAAAACCACCCTTTGGAGGGGGCCGCGGGTTGAACAATCGTATCGTGGGACGCCTGGGACAGTGCCTCTCTGCTCGCGGTGCTTGTTCTCTGCAGTGTCTTCTGCATCCCCTGCCCGCTGCCCCCCGTCTCTCCCCCTCCTGCTCTCGGCCCCCCCCCTCCCGCTCTCGGACCCCCGCATTGTCGATTTTTTGTTCAGGCCACGGGTCATTGCATGAGTTTGCTTGTTGTAGGTCGGCTCGTTTGTCGTTCCCGGCTTGCCTGGCGACTTTTTTATTGGCGATGTGGTGGTCCACCCCCCCGCTGTTTTGTGCGAAACAACTGTAGGTGTCGTGATACGCCTGGTCTGATACGCAAGACGTACCGTGCTCAAGACGTCTGTGTTAAGACGCTGCGTGTTGGCTCGACGCGTTCGCCCACGTTTTCGCGCATGTGTCGCGCAAAACGTACGTTTCCGATCTATGTGCTGAGCTCCATGCCTACATGCTACGGGTTGCGTGTTGCGTGTTGGGGCAGCTCGTTTGTTTGTTTCTTTTTCTTGTTGTTCAAAAGAATCTCCCGCCCACCACGACCTCGCCTCGCCGTCGAGAGTCTCAGCATCGGGCGGCCCCTCCGCCGCCAAGCAAGGCCACTGCCTGCCGTCGGCCGCCCGCTGCTTCGCCTGGCTGCCCGGCAGCTGCGGCGGGCCGTCGCGCCTCTTCCAGCCCGGCCGGGAGGCTCCACCGACGAACGAGCGCGTTGCATTAGTCGCAAAGGGGCCACTCGCAAACGTCCGAAAAAAACATGATGCCTGCATCGGTGAATGACATCGTGGACCCGATGCGGCGAATCCAGGCCATTTGCGGGTAGTGACTTTGCGAGTAGTGGAGCGCGCTCGTCCGACCGAGGGGAGGGGGGGTGCAGAGGGGGCCCATGCCAAGAAACACCCCGCTTGCATCCTGGGTGCCCTGGGTTTCTTGAGTCTCGATGGTGTTGCCATGGAAGGCGTGACGTTCCTGCAGCAAAAATCGATGGACGTCCTGGGGTCTCAGGGTTGGGTTTCTTGTGGAAGGTTTCTTGTGGTCGGGCCCCTACTGCAAGAGCAGGGGCAGGTACCCACACCGCTGCCCTCCGCTTTGTTTTTGCTCGTCTCTCTCGGCCTCCTGTGAGGCCCTCGTCAACACCGCCGGAGAGGCCACGACGCAACAAACCACCCCAGAGGCCAACCCAAAAGGCCCCAGAGTTCGCCAGATGTTGGATCGGGGGCTCTCTGGTTTCCAGCCTGTGCTCTCTCAGTGTTTGGACTGCGCCCCCGCTGGAAATGGAGAGAACCGACAGCGACTTCAAGGTGGGTGGGTTTGGCCCGGTAGGTGCCAGGAGGGACAGAAACACAGACACAATGAATCGTCGGCTCCCAGGAAAAATGTGGCAACGAAATTCCCGAAACTATGGAAACATATGGGGAATCCTGGGCGTCGTGTCTATCTCTTTGTGTATCTCTGGGCCCCTTCAAGGTAGTCAACGGGGAGGGAGGTCCCGCCCCTCCTGTCAAGCGGTGCAGGAGTTCACTCCTGGTCCGCCTCGGGATGTTCCGAAGGCGAAGGGGCAGGAGGAGGAGGAGGAGGATGAGGAGGAGGAGGAGGAGCAGGAGGAGGAGGAGGAGGAGAGAGGAGGAGCAGGAGAAAGTCGAGATGGTGATGGGAGGATGAGGGCGAGAAGGAAGTGGGGAGCACTATGGACCGCTGGGGCGAAGTTTATATGAGATGGCGTTGTACATCTGCCTCGATGACATGACTATCGTTAAGTCGGGCATGTCCTCGTACAGACGGATTTTGGACGACACATCAAACCTTGTCAAAACAATGCCAAACCATAAGCAAAACTAGTCCAAACATCGTCCCAAGACTATTTCCCAACCCTCCTGTGTGTTGGGTCCTCGTCTTGAGTTCGCAGCGCCGAGCCCCACCGCCTCCTCCTCCTCCTCCTTCTCCACCTCCTCCTCCTCCTCCTCTCCCTCTCCTCTCCTCTCCTCTCCTCTCCTCTCCTCTCCTCTCCTCTCCTCTCCTCTTCTCTTCTCTTCTCTTCTCTCCTCCTCCACTCTTCCCCTTCCTCACCCACACGCTTCGTGGCCCCATAGGGAGCTCCACCGAAGGCCCCAGTGGCAGGGCCCGCATGCGTACTCGGGACCATTTCGGCACATCCCTCACACGCTTCGTGGCACCATAGGGAGCTCCACCGAAGGCCCCAGTGGCAGGGCCCGCATGCGTACTCGGGCCCATTTCGGCACACCCCTCACATGTTTCGACCCCGCCCCAACGAGCTCTTGTGCATCGAGCGGTCTTGTTGTTGATACCCTCCACGCGTGTATGATGGCTTGGATTCTTCGCCAGGGTATTTTTTTGGACTATCTTGAAGACTCGTCCTGTAGAGGGACCTGTCCGACTTAAGACTATCGAGGTAGTTTTAAGTCGGGCCTGTCCCTCTACACCAGGAAAATTCAAAAATAGTCAAAATGTAGTCTGGGGACTATTGTTGGAGTATTTGTTGACCATTTGGGGGTATCTTTTGACTATTTTTTATTCTTCGTCGAAAGTCCCCCTGTATGGGGGACAGGCCCGACTTAAAGGTAGCTCCTTCGTCGCGCTCCTGTGGCTGCGGGGGCCCTGCCTCGTCGTGCCCTGCCGCCGCGGGCCGCGCGCGTGCTCGAGGGGTCCCGGCCGCACGCCGCACCTGGACCCAGACGCGACGACCGGGCTCCATCGACCAGGGCCACTCCTCCTCCTCCTCCTGCTCCTCCTGCTCCTCCTCCTCCTCGTCCTCTTCCTCCTCCTCCTCCTGCTCCTGCTCCTCCTCCTCTGGACGCGACTGGAGTGGACGCACTGGGCCCCGCACCGCCGTCTACCACTGTGGAGGGCGATCCATGGAGAGGAGGCACGTTGCCAAAGAATCGCGAGGTGCCTCGGTACGCCCGTTTTGAGACGCAACACGTCACGTTTTCGAGACGTCCGTGTCAGTACGTCGTGTTGGTTCCACGCATCGGACCACGTTCTGGCGAATGCATCGCGTCGGACCTACGTTTTCAGTCTACGTGTTGAGGTCCGTATCGATACGGTACGTGTTGCGTGTTGCGTATCGGAGCAGCTAAGGACTGGACCCCACATCGCCATCTCCGACTGTGGAGGACGATCCATGAAGAGGAGGCACGTTGCCAAATCATCGCGAGGCGTCTAACTCATGGTCTACACATGCTTTCACCAGCTAAACTGGCATGTTTGAAACATGCTTTTATGCAGGTGTAATACATTTGAAAGACATGTTGCATTCAATGGTAGGGCTGTTAGAGTGCCCATTCTCATGCCATCCACAAATCTACCACACACATGCCGACGCCTACATCAACATCTGCGCGGCCTCCACCGCGGGCGTACTCCCATCACCAGCAGCGAACTCTGCACGAAGGTATGGCGTAGCTGGTGTGACGTGTGCCTCGAGCGCCGTCAGACATCACGATCAGTGGGCGGGCTCTCCAAGTTCACCCGCCCACGCGGCTCGTGGGTTCGGCCGAGCTGTTCTACCTTCATCACGTGCGCAGCTGCGCAGCTCCAGCTTCATCGGCGCGTTCCACGTCTTCGAGTCCTCCCTCCCCAGCCCCGGCTCCTATTGCGAAAATGTTGTCTCTATAGCTCTATCTGCCGACGTGTGCCAGAGCAGACCTGAAAGTCCAACGAGGACCCCATCGTGTTACGTGCAATCGAAACATGGGGCTGTGTACGTTGGAGGAGCAGGAGGCGGATGAACAGGAGGAAAAGGATGATGATAATTGGAGGAAAAAGTGGCCCGCGCTGGGGCGAGAGTGCCACTCCGAATGATGGGAGCAACGCGCCGGTCCGAAAATGAGGCCCACGCTGCAGCGGGAACATAATTCCGAAACGCCGAACAATCGACTTGTAAACAACATCGTAGGAGCACATGCAATGTTTGAGAACTTGTGTGACAAAACACGGAGAGGGCCGAGCATCTCCCAGATCCCAGACAGGGTATCCTGCAATTGTGGAGGGGGGGCTGCGGGGGCGGAGGGGCGGGGAGGAAGGGGGGGTGATGACGCGACAGTCTGCTAGTAGAGAAGAGGTCCTTCTCTGGAATGCAAAAGCCCACAGAGCAGCACGTGGCATTCTAACACGCCCACGTCGTGCAGGCACAGCAGCGGGCTTACGGAAGGACGCAGAAGAGGCGGAGGAGTAGGAGGAGCAGGAGGGGGAGGAGGAGGAGAAGGAGGATAAAGAGGAGGGGAAGTGACAAGAGGGGGTAGGGAAGGAGGGAGGAGGAGGGCCGATCTGGCTCCTCTTCGTCCTGCTCCCCCTTGCGGCGGCAGCGGCGGCAGCAGCAGCGGCGGGGCGAACGGCAACAGCAGCAGCTGCAGCTGCGGCAGCACTGGGACACGGTGTAGCGCGAGAGGGCGGCCCGGACCCGCGGCGGCGGGGCACGCTCGCGCACAGCAGGCCCACGCCCTCCTCGCGCTCTTGCCTCGGCCGCCCTCCTCCGCAGCCGCTCTGGCTCGCGGCACCTCAGCTGCCTCCCCGTGGCCTCTCCCAGCTGGAGTCCGCGCAGGTGGAGTCGAAGGATCGCTCCGCATCGACGAGGCATCGACGATGCGGCTCGATGTGGGGTCAGAATCTCTCCGCGCCGATAGCGCCGATGCATCGCCGACGTCGCCGATGCATCGCCGATGCATCGGCGATGCCGCGCGATCTTCCGATCCCATCCACTCGGACCCCACCCAGGAGGCCAGACCTCCGATGTGGTGATTTTTCATAGCGTCGACCCCCAGAGCTCCGGACCCCCTCCCCCAGCACGGGTCTTTCATCCTGAGTCCTTCTTAACGGTCCCAGGGCCAGGGCGGGGCCCAGCGGATGCCGAACATGGCGCAGAGCCTCCCGTCGTGATTTTCTGTGCACACCGCGAGGGGGTTTGGGAGGCCTCCAGCTTCTGCCGCGCCACAGCGAGCCGCAGCGCTCCCGCCGAGCCGAGCACCCGCCGAGCAGCATGGCCCGCTCCCGCTCCGTGCTGGCCGCCGCCTTGGCGCTCGGCGCCGCCGCCGTCCTCGCGGGCCTCGGCGCCGCCGCCTTCCTGGCCCCCGCCGCGGTCCGCGGAAGCGCGGCGGCCGCCCCGCGCACGAGCCCTCAGGCTGCGTGCTTCATTTGCTCATTATTGGCATTCTGATGCTGACCTTGGCATTGTCATGAGTATGAGTATGCCCCTTATCATTTTCATGATTATTACTCGTATCACTAATCTTAGTGTTATCATATTCGTAAGTACGAAGATCACAAAGACAAAGATCATTCGCATTGCTGTTGTTCCCAACCATCCTGTGGTGTTGGGTCCTCGTTTTGAAGAGACGGTGCCCGCGTCCTCTCCTCTCCTCCTCTCCTCCTCTCCTCCTCCTCCCCCTCCTCCTCCCTCCTCCTCCCTCTCCTCCCTCCTCTCTGCGTTTCACCCACCCATTACAGCGCTTCGTGGCTCCATAGGGAGCTCCACCGAAGGCCCCAGTGGGGGTGTTCGCATGCGGTTCCCCCACCCAGGGCAGCGTTTCGTGGCCCCATAGGGAGCTCCACCGAAGGCCCCAGTGGGGGTGTCCGCATGCGGTTCCCCCACCCAGGGCAGCGTTTCGTGGCCCCATAGGGAGCTCCACCGAAGGCCCCAGTGGGGGTGTCCGCATGCGGTTCCCCCACCCAGGGCAGCGTTTCGTGGCCCCATAGGGAGCTCCACCGAAGGCCCCAGTGGGGGTGTTCGCATGCGGTTCCCCCACCCAGGGCAGCGTTTCGTAGCCCCATAGGGAGCTCCACCGAAGGCCCCAGTGGGGGTGTTCGCATGCGGTTCCCCCACCCAGGGCAGCGTTTCGTGGCCCCATAGGGAGCTCCACCGAAGGCCCCAGTGGGGGTGTCCACATGCGGTTCCCCCACCCAGGGCAGCGTTTCGTGGCCCCATAGGGAGCTCCACCGAAGGCCCCAGGGGGGGTGTCCACATGCGGTTCCCCCACCCAGGGCAGCGTTTCGTGGCCCCATAGGGAGCTCCACCGAAGGCCCCAGTGGGGGTGTCCACATGCGGTTCCCCCACCCAGGGCAGCGTTTCGTGTCCCCATAGGGAGCTCCACCGAAGGCCCCAGTGGGGGTGTCCACATGCGGTTCCCCCACCCAGGGCAGCGTTTCGTGGCCCCATAGGGAGCTCCACCGAAGGCCCCAGTGGGGGTTCCACATGCGTTTCCCTCCACCCCAGGGCAGCGCTGCGTGGGCCCCATAGGAGCTCCACCGAGGGCCCCGTGGTGGTTGTCCCACATGCCGGTTTCCCCCACCCCGGGCAGCGGTTTCGTGGCCCCATAGGGAGCTCCAACAGAAGGCCCCTGGGGGTGTCCACATGCGGTTCCCCCACCCAGGGCGAGCGTTTCGTGGCCCCATGGGAGCTCCACCGAAGCCGACCCGTGGGGGGGTCCACATGCGGTTCCCCACCCCAGGGCATCGTTTTGCGGTGGGCCCCATCGAGCTCCACCGAAGGCCCCAAGTGGGGTGTCCACATGCGGTTCCCCACCCAGGGCATAGTTTCGTGGCCCCATAGGGAGGCTCCACCGAAGGCCCCGGAGTGGGGTGTCCCCATTCCCGCCCCCAACCCATGCAGCTGCCGCTTCGTGGCCTCCCATAGGAAGCTCTACCGAGGCCCCAGTGGGGGTGTCCACATTCGGTTTCCCCCACCCAGGGCAGCGTTTCGTAGCCCCATAGGGAGCTTCACCGAAGGCCCCAGTGGGGGTGTTCGCATGCGGTTCCCCCACCCAGGGCAGCGCTTCGTGGCCCCATAGGGAGCTCCACCGAAGGCCCCAGTGGTGGTGTTCGCATGCGGTTCCCCCACCCAGGGCAGCGATTCGTAGCCCCATAGGGAGCTCCACCGAAGGCCCCAGTGGGCTTTTCGCCAATGTGCGGTTTCCCCCAACCCAGGGCGCGTTCGTAGCCCCATAGGGAGGCTCCACGCGAAGGCCCCCATTGGGTGTTCGCATGGCGGTTCCCCCACCCAGGGCAGCGTTTCGTATCCCGCATAGGGATCTCCAACGAAGGCCCATTGGGCAGTGTTCGCAATTGCGGTTCCCCCACCCGGGCAGCGTTTCGTGGCCCCATAGGGAGCTCCACCGAAGGCCCAGTGGGGGATGTTCGCATGCGGTTTTCCCCCACCCTGGGCAGCGTTTCGTGGCCCTATTAGGGAGCTCCACCGAAGGCCCTAGTGGCTGTTCTCGCATGCGTTTCCCCCACCCAGGGCAGCGTTTCGTGGCCCCATAGGGAGCTCCACCGAAAGGCCCCAGTGGCTGCTCTCGCATGCGTTTCCCCCACCCTGGGCAGCGCTTCGTGGCCCCATAGGGAGCTCCACCGAAGGCCCCAGTGGGGGTGTTCGCATGCGGTTCCCCCACCCAGGGCAGCGCTTCGTGGCCCCATAGGGAGCTCCACCGAAGGCCCCAGTGGGGGTGTTCGCATGCGGTTCCCCCCCCAGGGCAGCGTTTCGTGGCACCCCATGGGGAGCTCCACCGAAGGTCCCAATAGGGGTGTTCGCATGCGTCTCCCCCACCCAGGACAGCGTTTCGTGGCACCATAGGGAGCTCCACCGAAGGCTCCAGTGGGGGTGTTCGCATGCGTCTCCCCCACCCAGGACAGCGTTTTCGTGTGCCCCATAGGGAGCTCCCCGAAGCCCGAGATGGGGGTGGTTTCGCATTGCTGTTCCGCCCAAACCCAGGGCAGCGCTTCGTGGCCCCATAGGGAGCTCCACCGAAGGCCCCCAGTGGCTGCTCTCGCATGCGGTTTCCCCGCACCCCATGGCAGCGTTTCGTTAGCCCCATAGGGAGGCTCCACCGAAGGCCCCAGTGGGGTGTTCGCTATTGCGGTTCCCCACCCATGGCAGCGTTTCGTAGCCCATATGGCGCTCACCGTAAGGCCCCCGTGGCGCAGTTCGCATGCGCGTCCCCACCCAGGGCAGCGGTTCGTGGCACCATAGGGAGCTCCACCGAAGCCCCCAGTGTCGCCGTTCGCATGCGGTTCCCCCACCGCAGGCCAGCGTTTCGTAGCCCCATGAGGGAGCTCCACCGAAGGCCCGCCCCGGTGGCGCAGTCCGCATGCGGTTCCCCCATCCAAGGCAGCGCTTCGTGGCCCCATATGGAGCCCCACCGAAAGCGGCACCCACAACGCGTTACCAACAATTGCTTATGGTTGGGTCTTTCGCCAGGATAATTTTTTTATCAGTAGTTGTTATCATTAGTACGATTGGTGCTCGCAGTATTAGTTTGCTTATCTTCAGTATCATCATGATTTTGAGTGGTATTCGTACGTTGATGTGTAGCATTAGTTCTAGTACCATCTGTTATGTATCAGAGCTGTTATTCATATTTTATCCGTACCAGACGTACTATTATCTGTATTAGTAGTCGTCGTCGTAGTAGTAGTCGTCGTAGTAGTATTCGTAGCCGTAGTCGTAGTCGTAGTCGTAGTCGTAGTCGTAGTCGTAGTAGTAGTAGTAGTAGTAGTAGTAGTAGTAGTAGTAGTAGTAGTAGTAGTAGTAGTAGTAGTAGTAGTAGTAGTAGTAGTGGTAGTAGTAGTAGTAGTAGGCAGTCGTAGTAGCGGTAGTGGTAGTTGTGTCGATCCATTAAAGACCGTCGAACACCTGGCAACAACGCAACATGCAAAAACAGGCTGCGGCGGGCGCCTCGGCGCCGCTGCGGGCGGCGGGCGCGGCGCGGAGTGGTGCCGCCGCCGCCGCCGCGGCGGGCGCGGCGGCGCCCGCGGCCTTCTCGGGCGCCACGCTGCTGCCGGCTTTGCTGCTCAGCGCCCGGGCCACGGTCAGCGTCTGCGCGGCGGTGGCCCGCCACGCCAAGGCGCCCGTGTCGGAGTACGGTGCGCCCTCGGGCGTGCGCAACTTCCAGGACCAGAGGGGAGGAGGGGCGGCACACCCGAGGGGCCGAGGGCCAGGGGCGAAGACACGAGGAGGAGGAGGAGGAGGAGGAGGAGGAGGAGGAGGAGGAGGAGGGGGAGGAGGAGGAGGAGGAGAAGGAGGAGGAGGAGGAAGAGGAGGAGGGAGGAGGGAGGAGGAGGAGGAGGAGGAGAGGAGGAGGAGGGAGTTGGATGAGGAGGACGGAGGGGGGAGGAGGAGGGAGGAGGAGGAGGAGGAGGAGGAGGATGAGGAGGAGGGGGGAGCCACACCCGATGGGGCCGACGGCCAGAGGCAAAGACGGGGGGGGGGGGGGGGTAGGCTCAGGAGGGGATGCGTCGACCTCCAACCGCCAGCTCAGGAGGGGATGCGTCGACCTCCAACCGCCCCTTGATCACCGGCAAGGGGGTCGATCGCCCGCCCCACCCAGGGACGTGCGGCTTCGCTGGCGTAGGCCCGTCGCCGATTTATCTCGGCGATTGATCGCCGATTTCAGGTCGATGCTTTCCCTCCCTCCGCCTCCTCCTCCTCCTCCTCCTCCTCCTCCTCCTCCTCCTCCTCATTACCCTCCTCCCTCTTCTCCTCCTTCCTCTCCTCCTCCCCCTCCTCCTGATCCTCGCTCGTTTCCCCCTGTGCTGCTCCCCCTTGCCAACAGTCGCCCCTCACAGATCCCTGACGACGTGTCTTTGCTTCCCTCCGGCGCTCTCTCCTCGAGCTCGGCCTCCACGGCCCAGGCGCTGCAAGGACCAAATCTTGGGATCGGGAGGGGCTCGGGCTGCCTCGCGCGGGCCCCCGACCTCCCGCCGTGGAGCCCGCCCGTGGCCCGGGCCCCGCAGCGGCTGGGGAACGGCCCCTCTCGTTCCTTGCTAGCTGCGCGCCTTCGCATGGCTTGGGGGCGACGATCAATGGAGCGGAGGCATGTTGTCGAATGATCTCCAGATGTCCTAGAACATGTGTGGAACACAGGTACAAACACAGGTTTCAAACATGCTCGCAGCATTGATTTTCCCGGCATCTTGAACACATCGTTAGTTCCATCCGAGGATTGGTGGGGTGTCCAGTGGCACGGCATCCGCAACTGATGGCGGCGCGATGCCTGTAGGGCCGCCTACGGGGCCCCCGGGACCATGAGACGCGCCTCGGGGACGAACAACTGTACCCCTTTTGGGGGGCGGGCGGGCCCGCTTTGGCCGCGGGTGTGGAAGACATTATATCTATCGGCGGGAATGGTGATCGTTTTCTTATTCAATGTTGCCCATCGGCGCGGGCCCTCTCACCCCCCCTCCCCCTCTCCATGGAGTAGATCTTGGCTGTCTGTGGCGCCTGTTTCGAGCAGGTGGAGTCTCCCCCACAGGACGCACTGCTGCAAACAGTCGCACGAAGCACTAAGCAGAGGTCCGGAGCCAGACCCCTCCCCCTCCCCCTCCTTCCGCCCAGTGTCGAAACGCGAATCAGCAAACGTAGATATGGGCCTCGGCAGCCCCGGCGTGTTCTGCCTCGTGTCGGGGCCTCCGGGAGGCTTCTCGCCACCTCGGCCGGATCCCGAGGCAGGATCGCGCCGTTTCAAACATCGGAGGTGGATAGACCTCCTACCCTGACACGTCGATTAGTGAATTGGCCGTTTTCGGTTCGCGAGAGGGCGTCGCGGCCGTCAATTTTGCGGGTCCAGGTCCGTCGGTTTCGGTACGGTACC